TTGACAGCGAGTTCCTCTTATTCTTGGCTGATCTGATCGCTTGCTGTATTTTCCTTGTTGGCTTGAAGATCGTTTTTATGTTGTGTTTCTTCAAGACTTTCCCTATCCTGTCTGTCACCCGAGAGTCCCGCGAAATGGAAGGCAGATATGCATTAGCCAGCACTGGTTGTTCATCCACGATTTGTCGTGTGGCCGTTTTGGGTCGCATGGCCCTGTCGATTTCAAATGCATGGTATCCATTTTATAAAAAGACCGACTTGAGGTGATCCAGTTCTCGCTCGAGATGTTGTGTCTCGCAGATGTTCCGAGCACGTTCTGTTAACGTTGTTATAATTCCACGTTTTTGCCTTGGATGGTGGTTGAAGAGTGCATGCAGGTACCTGTCTGTGTGTGTCGGTTTTTGGTACACTGTGTAATTTAGTTTTCCTCCAGATGTCTTCATGAGTACATCTAAGAAGGCGATTGCTTGGTTTATCTCCTTTTCCATGCTAAATTGTTTGCTAGGATGTTGCACGTTTAGGTGGCCTAGGATCTAGTTAAGCTTATCTTCCCTATGAATCCAAACCACAAAGGTATCATCTACATATCGAAGCCGTTGGTTTGTGGTCAAAAGATTCGATAGATTTTCTCTCGAAATCCTCCATAATGAAGTTGGCTATGACCGGGCTGAGTGAACTTCCCATAGGTACACCGTCCGTGTGCTCGTAGATGTAGAAATCGCCGTTCCACAGGAAGGCCGTTCCACAGGAAGTAACTACCAGTGAGACATGTCCAGAAAAGCTCAACTATGTCATTGGGGAAGGTCTATCTATTCAGCCTTCTTCAGTTGGACATAGGCCTCCCCCAGTCTTCTCCATTTTTCTCTGTCTGTTGCCATGTTCATCCACCTGGTTCCAGCGTGCTTCTTCAGGTCATCAGCATACCTCATCTGGGGTCTTCCTCTACTTCTTTTATTCTCCCAAGGTCTCCAGCTTAAGACACATTTATTCCATCGGTCGTATTTTTGTCTGATATTGTGACCTGCGAATTTCCATTTTAATTTTGCTACCTCCTTTCTAACGTCTCTTACTCTCGTTTTATTTCTTATCCACTCGTTCCTCTTTTTATCTATCAGTCTCACATGTAACATTTGTCTTTCCATTGATCTTTGTGCTTTTGTTATTTTATCCATGTTTGACTTTGTAAGTGTCCATGTTTGGGATCCATAGGTGAGACCAGGAAGTATACATTGATTATAAACTTTGGATTTGAGGTATTATGGATATTTTCTGTTTTTCAAGATGTAGCTTAATTTACCGAATGCTGCCCAAGCTAATCTAATTCGTCTCTTGATTTCTGCTGTTTGTGTTGTGGAGTGATTGCGAAATTACCGCCTTTTGCCAAGAAGGCTGTTTCAGAAAGGACTCGATCCGTGAGATTGATGATCAGTCTAAATTTGTGTTGAACTTCTCGTATTTTCGAATCTAGGGTTTTTACTCCGATTTAGCTCATTATCCATGCTTAAGTATGAGATGGTATCAATTTTGTTCAAATCCTTTGCCTGTACGTTGCTGCTGAGCGTCAAATGTAGGTGAAAGGTGAAGTAGTTCATTATCTACTCCTTCAGCCAGATCCTTTCTTGTTTTGTGGATTCACTCTCGGAGAGAGGTTTTTTTCAGTTCTGGAGTAGATGCGATGTGCTTGGGGTGCCTTAGAAGAGCGCTTAATCTGCAGGAACGCTGGTACGATGTTAGTGTCACGGCAGCGATTAGCGTGCTAGCAAAACGTCAGGAAGAAATTCCAACTCATCAGCATAAAACACTCTACTCAGAAAATGAGTTATGCTGATATCAGAGGCACAATAAATATCATCAGAGTCGCGTTGCTCGGAATTGGGGTCCGAATTCATGATACCTTCAGCAAAGGAATTTGAAAAATATTAATATATCTGGAAGTATTTCATCAAAGCATCATTTTAATAATATTATGCCAGTTGCCGATAGGAATTAAAACGCGACTTTTAAACACCTTTTCGCGTACCTTTAACGTTGGGGCATCAACTGATGGAGTTTTTCTGTTTTAATTTATGAGCTTGGTGGGAAACACACAAATTCCATATAAAATTTATTTTTGATCCTAATAATGAATGCGAAACGCAAGCGGCGAATAGGCACCATAAATTAGGGGTCAAAATGTATGTTCCTAAATTTAATTTAAATAATATAAATGATGACCGAGAAACCGTTAATGATGGGACATTACATAAAACAATTCTGTTGTATTTGTAGGTGCTAGGATTATCCGACCTCACTTCCAAGCCTTCTTTTGTTTGCTAATTCTTAGAAAATAATTTACACGTGATCATATGTGACCTTCTATTGATTTTCGTTTAAGTCATTTGCATCTATTTAAACAAACAAGAGAATTCTCTTTGTGCAAACCAGACAAAATTGCGTAAGTGTGAACCAATACCGACCTACTGCTTTTACTTCTTTGCCATAGTTTTACGTAATTTCTTTTTATCTTAAGGATTTTTTCCTAGGACGAAGTTATACTAAGCATGGGACTTACACGTCAGTAGTATAATAGCGTGATCTAGACAGCTATAGTGCCTATCGTTTATAATTCATATTCCTATAAAACTGATATTTTTTGTGACTGCCAAAGATGCCGTGGGATGTTTTTTTTTTTAGAAATATAGATATTCTTTTCCGCTAGATGCCCCGAATGTATTATGCTGACGTCAATTTATTTATCTATCAGTAATCCATAGCATTCAAGAAAAGTTATCTCCTCTGCCATCAAATTAGATTTTCTGTAAATATATTTTCTGGGATTCGGCGACTGAAGCTTACTTTTTTTTTTCGGTTAGTTCATCAGTCTTGGGTTTGTTTAATTCTCTTTGGGGTCTTAGCCTTTTATCGAATGCTCGTTTAGTCGCTATTTGAGTAAATATTCAACAACTTAGAGTAGGTAATTCAATTTCCCAAGTAGTAAAGGCCAATCTTAGTCTAATCAAAACTTAACTGAACAGATGGTAGAATTTAAGGAAGAGCAAATATAGTGAATATTAGTATTGTTAATAACAAAATCATGAATTTACTGGTTCGCAACAAAATTAATATAAAGTGAAAGGATTCTTGACATCCGTTTTAAAAGTTCGACCCAATAAACGACCTTCCATGTCGAGACTGTGACCAAAACACTGTAACTATGACGTCAAACCATTACGAAGAATTTTCTGTAATTTGTTTGAATTTACTTTTTAAAATATATTTTATAACAAAAGCGAACTCCAATTTGTTTTGTATTGATAGAGCACGTCGATTCTTCATAAAATAATTAGGGCTCTATACACAATAGGTAGGTATACAGTTTCATTAACAAAACAATATAAAAATAAAATGAAAAAATTGTATATTATGATATAAGTGTATAAGAGGGCCTTTAAAGCACGCGCGACATATTGCAAAACACGACGCGCAGCGGAGTGTTTTGTAAGTCGCAAGGGCTTTAAATGCTCTTATACACGAATATCATACGCTATTTTTTATTACGAATTCATGATGATCTCAAAAATGTTTCAGATGTGTTAATTTATTTTGGTAAATAGTAATTTAAACGACAGGTAAATATCTAGGTGATGAAGGTAGATCAAACGTTTCTATAGCAAACCTTTCAGAAGGTAGGCGCATAATAGTACATTAAAATACAAGTTTCATAAGACGTCATTTTATCGCACGAGCCCTATATTAGAAAACGAGCCGCAGGCGAGTTTTCTAAAGGGCGAGTGAATAATAAAAATCTTGGAAATTTTATTCCTATATTTCCTGATTGTATATCTTTAGGTTGGTAACACTAGATGCCAAATATAGAAATCTTCTATTAAAAATCGCGAATGACAGTTCGATGGCTATCAGTCAACCAGTGTTACCAACCTCCGATAAGTAAAAAAGGAGTGTCACAAATAGCTTCTTTTCGTAACTACTTTTAGTGTCGAAAAGACTTCGATATGACACCAAAATAGAAAAACATCATTTTATGCACGCTGCAGCATGCGATAATCGCTGATTATGATGCATGCGTAATAAAAAAATATATATATAAAACGGGAACAATGTACTTTTGATTTTAACAAGACCATACTCGTTATCCATCCAATTGAATGCCTATACAGACACAAAACAAAATTCGAACAATGGCCCGGGACTGGGTTTCATTAGAATTTTGTGGTCTAATTTTTTTTCTCTATTTGCTGTAGCTAGCATAATATATACAGGGGATGTTATCAAAAAAAGTATGCTTTAATGACAAAACATAAATTTAAATAATAAGCAGAGGGACCCACACACATTATTTTTGTAATGGAACATTGCTGTCGTAGGATTCCTGAAAGGTTTTTTTTTTGGTGTCGAAGGAATGCTAATAAAAAAATGTTTGTTTGTGGAATTAGGCTATAATAATGTTTCTATGAGCTGAGAAGAGCTTTTCAAATAATGCTTGCTGGTGGTCGTTGGTTAAGGCAGAAAAGGCATTGTCACCCTTCCGAAAAAATATTTGCGTATAATAATTTAGGAATGAACTGTGGACCTTTTACAAATCTAGAAATAGTCAAACTTGGGAAAATTTGTGATACGGCAAGAATTCCCAAAATTGCCAGGTCCTGCAGCTGGATTGACATTCTATGAAAATAAGAATTACATAAAGGAACACAATTTAATTATTGTTAGTAGAATTTCTATACAAAAGCTTCTATATTCTCATTATCCATTCCTGTTTTGAATAAATTACTAGATATAATTAAAAAAGGTTATCTATCAGACACAAAAACAATCTGCACCAACAACAGCTTCGAAACTCAAATTTATTCAAGCCCATTTTGCATTTGTCGTTTTCCACTTACGCGGAAATCTAAATTAAAGTCGTGTCTGGTTTTGAATTGAAAATTGCGCGAATAGGCCTCCTAAACAAGCGGAGCAATTATTCAAATTTGACTAATGGAGACTTTTATTTTTTTGCAGCAATATGTCAATTGGCCGAAAACACTCCGCCGTATATGTGGATGGAACGTAACTGGCAAATACCCGATAAGGAGCCAATTGGGAGTAAAATAGCGCAAGTTCACGGAGAAGATCACGAAAATGATAACTTGACTTATGGATTGGAACCGATTCAGTTTTTTGGGTCTGATAAACCACCCGATCCTTTGCCTTTCAGTATTGACCCACAAACTGGAGCGGTATATTTGAATGATTCTTTAAAAGATAAAGTAAGTTCTAAAAAATGTTTATTTTTTCAAATTTATCAAAATCTTAATCTTGATCAAAATCTTTATCAACGCCTATAGCAATTAAGTACAGAATTCCTTATTACTACTTAATACTAACCCAAACTTGATGAGGATTCGATATACCTACAATTAAAATAAGACTCAAAGTGAAGGCATAGAAATGTAAAGTAGCGGCAACATTCGAATTACATAAATGAGAAAATTTCAGACAAAAATAAACTTTGCCATTTGAGCACTAGCTTTGTCAACATCGATATTAAAATTATCCACATCATCACTGTTTTCCATGAATTCATCAGCAAGCTTGATGGACGAATTTAACCTATAATTTATTCTGTGAAACTTTACCCTAAACAGATGTTTGTTCCTGGAGTTTCTAGATACACATAAAAATTTACACACTCTAGAAAATCTGGTACTTCGATCAGATTTTTTCCAGAAAGTGCAAAGATCACAATATTTTCTTCCAGTCTCTGAGATTTAAAAATTGCATAATTAATTGCCTGTGTAATAATTTCGTCAAAAACCGTTACGCGCAGCAAACCTCCTCTGCACTCTCTTTGTATCTTTATGTGCCGCATATATTTAGTAAGGCTGCCAAACTGGAGTGGCATATTCCAAAACTGAGCGTACCAGAGCGCAGAATTTTTTTTACATTAAATACACTGCCGAGCATAAAATTAGGGTCACCCATAATTCACAATTATTTTTGAAATGTCAAGTTTTTGAAATTTTTTTGTGGGTGTAGCATAGTTTACTACTCTATGCGATGATTTTATAGTGGTTGTTTGAATTTGAAAAAAAGTTGTTGTTATTTTGTTTAAAGTTTGATAAAAAAAGGGTCCCTCGCCGAAATTCCTCATTATCAGCATATTTGTGTATTCCATGCATGGGATCTCTCATGACGTATCTCTCAATAACAATAAAGTTAGTAAACTGTAAACCCAAAAAAAAATTCGCAAAAACTAAAAATTCCAAATTTTATGCTCGGCAGTGTATATTATTCGCGTCTTTTAGAATTTCTATTTACTGTTTTTTCAATATGTGGTACAAAATTTGAACCACTGTCTAGATCCTTGATAAGGTTTTCTCTTCCTAGTTCCGTAGTGCCCAAAGTACCTATACTTATAACGAATTGGATTTTTAGTCTTACAAAAAGTTACAATCTTGCATTTTTTTGTATTTAAGTACAGGCTTCCTAACTTCTATTATTGTAGTGTTGGTTCGGTTACCTAGTAGGTAACTTCCGACCATAAAGATCAAGCTTGGGTTTATGCCTGACAGATTCGCTCGGTCATAGGCGGCGGAACCATGGGGGCAATGGGGGCAATGGGGGCAATGGGGGCAATGGGGGCAATGGGGGCAATGGGGGCAATGGGGGCAATGGGGGCAATGGGGGCAATGGGGGCAATGGGGGCAATGGGGGCAATGGGGGCAATGGGGGCAATGGGGGCAATGGGGGCAATGGGGGCAATGGGGGCAATGGGGGCAATGGGGGCAATGGGGGCAATGGGGGCAATGGGGGCAATGGGGGCAATGGGGGCAATGGGGGCAATGGGGGCAATGGGGGCAATGGGGGCAATGGGGGTAATGGGGGCTTGAGCCCTCATAGTGAATTTCCTATGGGGGCGGAGCCCCTATAGTGATTTGGGTATTACTGTAGTGGGTAGGTAAAAAAAGATTGAGTTCCTAACTATCTATTTTTATATCAAATGTGTGTGTTTTATGTTTTCGTTGTTTTTGCTATACCTACATTAAGGTCGATTGTCCTTTGGACGCGTTTTCGTCCGAATTGCATTCGTCAGAAATTGGACGAAAAATTGCGAATGATCCCATTTCAGTAATTGGGTTTCCATTGTACCCGATATTATTCGTGCCAATTCGGGCGAAAACATACCATTGCGATTGAACGAAACCAAAATGGGATTTTTCGCAGTAGTTTTGACAATTTGCATGTGTTAACAGAGTTATTGAGTAGATAGACATATGGATATTGAAGAATTCATTAATTTGATATGGAAAAAAAAAACCTTTGTGGGATATGACTGTCAAATCATATCCCATGAGAGAAATGAAAAACATGCAGAGAAAATTCATCCTTCTTTAAATCATCATATAAATGATGAAATTCTCCGAATTATTCTCGTTTTGCTAAAATATCATTAATCCAGCACTTTTTTCTTTTTAACAATCGCCGTCTAACAAGATAATTATATTTTCCAAAAGATAATCCCTCCATATTACTCCACTACGTAAAGATTGCGCGAAGTCAGTGGACGATATCACATATGCGAAATCTGACGCAAATTATGCGTCCCATTTCTGACGGTTGCAATTCGGACGAAAACGCATCTAAAAGACGACCGACCTTAATGAACAGTTTGAATATATTGTTGTATAGTATTTAAACCTGTATTTTCAATAAGTCGTTGGATTATTATTTCCTTTCTGTTTGTTTTCATGATAGGTATGTTTACATCACATGAATATATCATGATGTACCAATACAGTGGCTTTTTTTACCTAGTTTATCATGGAAAGAAATTCAAAAATCCGCTGAGGGCGAATCGATGATCCTATCGAGCTGAAATTTGGTACGAATCTAGTAGAGTACGAGTTTTATGGCAAAAAAAAAAATACGGAGGGCACCTATCTGGAAGGCAAAGTCCCTTAGGGGGCGCAATTTTTTTTTTCTTGCTGATTCGGATGAAATTCAGATTATAGGTGAAAGGGGTCCAGAAAAGTTGATATTCCAAGTTTCAGCCCTCTCCGACCTACCGGAGGGGTTTTAGCCCCTATCCTCCCAATCTTGGAAAAGGGCGTGTAATGGTGCATACACGCCGGTGCATTTACTTTTCCGAATTTTGAGAAATAAAAAACACCACCAGATAGAGGAGCCAAAAATACGTTGAAAATATTTCTTGGTGTTTTTCGCTCCGACGCTTCGTAAGCCCGGAAATATATTTTTAAAAAAATTGATCCTGGAAAATTTTTGGGACCCGACAAGGCGACACTTTTTCGCTTATAACTCGGTAATTTTGAACCGATTATCTCGAATCAGGTTTCCTTCGAAAAAGCAATAAATTACCTACAATTTATTTTTTATTGATATTCCAGGCTGTTTCTGTCTCCGAGATAAACGCCGTCAAAGTTGAAATTTCTCTGAAAATGTATTGAAAGAATTGAAGTCGATTTTCTCAAAAACGGTTGAAGTTTTTCTCTCAGGCTCTCCGTTTTCCAGCTAGGATGCTTCGAAATTTAAAAAAATAAAAATAAAGGCTGTTTTGAATTTTTTTGTCATGACGGTCAAATATCTCCTAAATGGATCCGGTTTATTTTTTTCTCTCGTTTTTCGATTTTTTTTTTTTTTTACCTATATGTTTTCGCCTTGATATAATATGGTATTATAATAAAAGTAACGTTCTACTATAAATTCTTAACAAAATTTGTGAAAATGGCCACATCCCCGCTTGGCCCCACCATTAGGAGTCCCAAAAATACCGTAAAAAGGCCAAAATTTCGCGCCTTCGGCGAAGCTTTAAGGATTTCTCCATGTAAATTTGCCCCCTCTTCTCAAGACAAAATCCTGGCTACTCCAATGGTGCTGCCGAAGTCGAATATTCGAATATAGCCGAGCTGCCGGAAATCCACGAACTTTAATGATATACCAGGGACGATCAATGATCCAGCGTGGCGTTCCTGCAGTGAAATTGTTATCTGTCAACTGGTCCCATTCAAGCCTATGTGTGTAGTAGTCTAGACCTGTCTGTATAATTATTTCTACTTCTGGTAATTTTTGGAGCCCGAGCCCCATAAGAATTTTGAAATTCCGGCGCCTATGCGCTCGGTGTCCTCAGCCACAAGAGACGTGCTGGCTGTGTTTCACTCTAAGTTGGTACAAATAAAGAGAATTATTTGTAATTTAGAGCAAGAGAGAACCTATGGGGTCGTGGAATTCAAAAATAAAGAAAACGTGTTGCCCCTTTATGTGCAAATAAAACCACACAAATTCCAACAAACAATAATTTTATTTTCACAATGTATGTGATACTGTAAGTGATACTGTAAGTAAAAAGTTACTTATTACAATTTGACAGTTAACAGTTTGGTTGTTCTGGTGACACTGAAATAGTGATATTTTATGTGGAATAGGTACCCAGAAAAGAATGAAACAGTATCAGGTTCACCAAGGTTTGGAATATTAAATTCCTGAATTCTGTTAAAAAGCTAAACTATTGCAATGTGGAAAATTTTATATTTTTATAGAAAATAGAGTAGTAATAAAGTAGGGAAGTACCGCAAGATTGAATAATAATAGATGCTCGTTATAATTGAGCAGAATGCTGCTTCTCGTGCAGACGCGCTGAACAGGCAAAAATTAAAAAAAGAATGTAGGAAAAATTGAACAAGATAAAAAAAAATATCACTAGATTTTCTCCAAATAGATGAGTTTTCCTTTCAAGTTAAGGTACTTACTATTGGTACTACAAGATAAAGTTGAGGGTGAAGTAAACTGGATCCAAGGAACTGTCAAAATTCTTGAGATGTTTTAATTAAAACTTTTCAAATGAATTTTAAACTCTCCAGATTTCTATCTTAAAATTGCACCCATTCAGCACGCTTCTTACGCGAGAAGATAATGAGAGAGTCAAACAATAAACAACAACAACAAATGGTCCAATAATCCCACACTAAAAATTGATTCCAAAAATCAAAGCAGGATATCTATTTATTAGATAAAACTCTGAATTGACTCTCTTCAGAAAAACGTGGCACCCAATCACAAAATGGAGGCTCACAATAGATAAAAAATTAAAATATAATATTTATATTTTGAACGTAGATAAGATAAGATTTAATAGTGATAATAGACACTAATGGTGAAATAGAACAAAAAATATTAAGGGAAAATCTAGAAATCTGAACATGGAAAAAAATACAAAAATGAAAATCGACTTGCGTGTTCAGCCACTGCTAGAAAAGAGACCTTTTTCGAACCAAATCCCTTGAATAAAACCAGCCTCGTGTTTTTTATACTTAACTGCGTGGTAACCGTCGAACCAATCAGAAGACAACACTCAACACACACGAAAGGTTCCGGTTCACTTCATTAATGAAACACCACGCTGATTAAAAGGGAATGGATAAAAATACACTAGAATCATTGTAATTGTTTACAAATTATAATGATTTAAATTTAAGGTTATGTTAGAAACACAAAACCATTATTTAATTATGTCATAGAGTTAAAAATAATTATTTCAGAATCAGAAGTTAGAGAAAGACAGAAATATACTTATTTGCTGAAAGCAAGATAAACATTTCTTCAAATAAATATATAGACCGTTAGCTAATGACAGATTCTGGGTCCAAGTTCGAGCTAGGGTTCTTATGGCTAACCCTCCAGCTACTATTATGCTAATTATAGGAATGCTGTTCATATTTCCTGAACGAGAGATTACCTTTTCAAAATCGTTTCCTTTCTCGACGCTTCTTCTCTTCATTTGTTAAAAGTCATCTATATATAGCGAAATGATGATCCTTATGATCCACTTGATGTGGCGGAATGATGGCTTATGGCATAATAACTTTATGTTGATGTATGATATCTTCAAATAATTAGGCACCTAATACGAGAATTAGAAAGTTTTTTTTCTTCTTAAATTAGTAGTTTCTGCTTTGTTGTAATAACGCACTCTTCTTGAATTCATGTTGTTGCTTAACTAGCAAAATCTCACCTGACTCAACCACTACAAATATCAGCAATTGGCAAAAACTTATTGACAAGAAGCATTGCATATTTGCTCTCCTATATTCTCTACTTCCGGCAATAGATAGATGCGACTATAGTGGATCTTCTGAATATTTTGGTTGTTGGTTGAGAAAGGATGAAGTTCCTTTGTGCGAGAGAAAGTAAGGTGAACCTGAAATAATTCTGGCGAGCTTGACAGAATCAGTTCCTTTGTATTCTCGGTTGCGTGAAAAAGATAACTTTAACATTGTTTGTTGTATAACTGGTTGGTTTTGTTGGACCTGTCCTTTTCTTGTACTGGCTGCGGAGTAGCAATGACTCCAGATATTGGTAGCAGTATAACTGGTAATTATAGTTGGACTTGGACCTTCGTAGACCATGTAACTTTAGGTAACTAAAAACCTATTTCACAAATTAATCATCTCGATTCATTAGTGATGAAACCCAAATTGATTCTGATTGATCGGTAAACCAATACCTGTGCCAATACTTCACAATTATATTTTATTATAGGTAATTTACAATAAAATATTATACAAATCTAACCAATGTAAACAAAAAACAAACTTAAGTTGGAGCGGACTATTTGAATTACTTTTTAGAAGGCAAAGTGAGCCACGACATTTTTTATTTTTCAAATGTCAATGACACTCATCTCGATAAGAAGCTGACCGTAACTGGAGCAGATTATTTTGAATATTGATTCCCAAAAAGAGGAAATAGGTTTAAACAATTATGTATTTCTTTTTTTTTTATGTTAGGACATCAAAAGTAAATTACATAAAGTAAATAACAGTCAAACGACCTTCTGCATACCAAAGTGAAAGTTAAATGCCGCGTGAAAGCTAAACCGAGTGCCATCCTTTCTACTTTGAATACAATTATTTTTGTATTCTGCCTTCGTATCTTTTTATAACTCGTTTACTATAGGCGAAAGTTGCAAAAATTATTTTTTGATTAGGTACTTATTCAAGAGCAGTTGCTCAATTACTGGAAAATAATTTTATTCTCTTTTAGCTTCTATAATTTGGGTTATTTTATAATTTCAAATTCAAATTTCAAATATTTAAATTGATGTTAATGCACAGTGTGCTTACACAATTCCGTATTAATAATTAATAGACAATTATTATTGCTAATGGAGGCTCCTTGATTGATAAATATGGATACCTACATGAATAAGAAATTAGACAAAATAGAAACAAAGTATATTGCCCAATACATATACCTATGCTATATTCGTCTTTCTTCGAATTTTATCAAAAACAAATCTAGAAGTATCACATTTTGTAGCAGTTAGCAAATTATTATCCCGAATTAAGAATGTACTTACTGACCTCTAAAACAGAAACCAAGAAAGAAACCCTTAAATGTGATTTTTAAATAATCTATAGTTGATAGACCATTCAATAAAAACATATTCATTATTTTAAACAAGTTTGCACTTTTTTAACTTAATTTGCATTAGGATGCATTTCCTCAAAATTCACATTCATTTTAGGGTGGAACAGATCTACATCTCTACGTCACCCTCACTGACGGACAGCTTGATGTCAAAAATGAAGTCTACGTTAACATCCTCAACTCTTCAGCTCCCTTCAATAAAAAACAATCCCATAACCGTCCTCCATTTCCCGGTTCCCCCGGCGCTTTTAGCCCATTTGCAAACTTTAATCCTGCAGCGTCTCAAATACCTCAGAGACCTTCTTCTAATATGCCAAGCAATATGAATAATTTTAATAATCCTCCTCCAAATATAGCAAATAATCCTCCTCCTATGCCGAATAGGCCATATTTCCAACCAAAACGACCTAGAAATAATAATACCCATGAAGTTACGCCTTTAAGACCGGTGAAAGTTGATAGAGTGGATTCTCCGAATAATAGCTTGGAGGAGTCTAAAGAGGAAGAGGATTCTGACAGAAAATTAAAATCTACAACGAAGGTAAAAATTAAATTACAGGGAATAATTATTTTTTCAATTAATTAATAATTGTTTCAGGATATAGAGTCAAGTACGAGCGAAAACGATTTAAGTCCCTTAGACTATAGGGTGAAACCTCCCGAAATAGCTAGCACAGTAGTTTCCATTATATCTATTTGCGCAGTCTTTTTCATTGTTGGCGTAATAGCGCTAATATTTAGAAAAAAGATATACTTATTCAGGAAGAAAACGGATAAAACTGATGAGATAGTAAGTAAACTTGTCATGTGCATGCACTGAAACCTGAAAAATATCTTACGAATAATATGATTTCCGTATTCCGTGGTGTGGTGGTGATGAAGTATGTACGTCACATAAAATATGCATGCCTGATTAGAACAGAGACAGAATATTTGCATCTTATTTTCGGCCCTAAAATCAAAGCCGTCTTGACCCAAATTCTGGTCTAACAAAAATAATAAATTACAGTGTTCAATTTTAATGGCATGCAAACGTTTCAATTAAAATTGATGAAAAATTTTCTTGCCACCCTGTACATGCCATTTCAAGTTTTAATAGTTTAATATTATTTTTTTAAGAAGCAGAAACTTTCATAAATAATAACTTTTTTTCGTAAAATTGATAATATAAAAGTTTCCCATACGCTGCGAACGTAAGTGGACACACTGTATATCTAAGTTGACTTTTTTTAACGTATAAACTGTAGTATTTCTTACAGTCAAGGTGATCAAAAACGTGTGCCTACTTATCTACCTATATGAAGTGTGAATAATGTTCGGTCGATATTCCTGTCAAAACAAAGCAAGGGCACAACTTTATTGAAACATATCGAAATTAACAGGACCCCGCACCAATCTTATGGAAAATGGCTTCCAACGAGCAGAGCTGGGCAGTATTTGCAATTCTAAATACTTTTTAGTATTTAAATACTTAAAAGTATTTAAATACCTAGTATTTAAATACTTTTCTAAAACTGGTATTTGTATTTATGAATCCAAATACTTTTTGAAATATTTGGTATTTAAATACTTTAAAGTATTTTAAATACTTTCAAAAGTAGTTAAATACTTTCAAGTATTTAACTACTATCAAAAGTATTTAAATACTTTTGAAAGTATTTAAATACTTTTTCTTCTGCAAAAAATATACAGATGAACAAGATTCAACTCGTCACATTATCAGTTCCTAGACTAGACACGTGCCGCGTGCTTATCTTTGGCTAGACGGCTTCTGAAAATATATGCAGGCAGGCAGGGTAGTTTGTTTACGCGCTTTTGGTGAAAAATATTTGTTGTTTCTGCTGAGGTTGTTGTGTTGGTTCAAAGGAAAAGCACAAATAGTGAAGTGAATGAAGTGAATAATAAATTTGAAAAACGGTAAGGACATATTGTTTTATGCTTTAAAAATGCGGGGTTTTGTATTGGTAAAAATGCGCCTCATCTATAGGTCTCTAGTCTCTAGGTGCTAAAAGGTGCTTGACCCTTACCATTTTATATTTTAACGTGAATACATCTTCGTCTTGGATAGAAATTTTCCTAATAAATGCGAAATATTATATTGTGCAACTAGCAAGGAGTGATTAATAACACATTTCCCACTAGCGCTTAATGCTAGAAGTTTGATTCAGCGAGTACTAGTTGGAAATGTGTTTTTTTCCATGTACACATTGTACATACAGGATGTTTCAAATTCGAGCCACATCATTGGGATATCGGAAACGGTAAAAGATACAGGGTTGGTTAAATTGGGGCAAAGTTGCCAAATTTAATGCCAAGCAAAATAGCGTTCTGATATTTGGAAAATTGCACGTACCTCCGGAAATATTCGGAAAAAACCGAAATTTTGAAAAATCGATTTTATTTTTTCCTGAGCTTGTTTGAAGTGATATTCAAAAATAAATGAAACTTTATCGTTGCCACTCTCTTCCCTCTATAAAATGGCAGTGTGAAATTTAATATCCGACGTTTCTTCTTTGGTCTACCATCATCAGCTTTATTTTTCTAAAAACGACCATGATTTTTTTGTTGTGTTTTCTGTTGGCTTTAATGCAAACTTGTAAAACATTCATCAGATCCAAGAAATATTGGTTTAAACAGTATCCATGCACATGACTTACACATAACATAAAAAGCGATAATACATTTTTCACAATCTTCAAAGAAAAAAATATATCACTTCATTTTCGACTTCATCGTATTACTTTGTCAAATTTAAAATCCAAAATTCTTTCTTTGCCAACATCATCAACTTTATTTTTGTTAATTTTCTATTTTGTTATGCGTCATCCAAGCACTGCAATGTATCAAATTATTATTTTTTATTAGGAATTATCAATAGTAATACAGGGTGTCCCACGACGTTTGTCCCAGGTGATAATTTCGGAACGCGTCATCCAATATAATTGAAATTTTGCGGATCTGGGTAACTTTTTGAGCCGCTTCTACCACTGTCATTCAATTCCACCATTTTTGCTCCAATGTCGGCCAAGTGACGTCAACTTTCGAATTTTAAATGTAACTCATGGTATATTATGGCATTTTTCGTTAGAAAATTGAATTGCAAAATCGGCTATGTCATATTTGTTAAGGCTTTGTTAAAGGATATGACAAAAAATTATACAGTGGAACATACGATGATGCGTTCCGAAATTATCATTTGGGAAAAACCTTGTGGGACACCCTGTATAACTAGTGCAATGGAAATTATCGATAACTACGTGCACTCGTGCTCTTTTTCAACTAAAAATACATTCGGACAAATTTCTCAAAAATTAAATAGTAGGTTATTACATACCGAGTAGGGAAGTGTTTGATTACTGTCGAGAGATTTATATAGTCAATCGAGACGCGAAGCGTCGAGATTGAATATTAATCTCGAGACAGGAATGAAAACTTTCCTCCGAGGTTTGTATACTATTTTATTTGCAAGCACACAGTTAATTATGCTTAGTCAATCAGTTTTTTTGATATTAAAAAAATAAAACAAACATGCCAAAATGTGTCATTCACTGCTTTGCCATTTTTACCTGACATGTTCTCATTGTTGCCAGCAAAGGTAAATAAATTAGAGTGAGGGAAATCGGTGAGGGAAGTCGAATAGGGAAATCGGTGAGGGAAATCGAAGAGGGAAGTGACACAGGTAAAGTGTCACTTCCAAATTTTTAAAAAGTCAGTAATGACAAGATTACATATATGATTGCAAATAAAATATATTTCCATTGCACGAGTTGTATTTTATGAGAGAATTTCACGAATCAAAAATCTAAATTTTTTGTCAAAATTTGTCAATACACCAGTTTCGATACCAGTTACTATGCAATTATCGGATAATTGCACTAGTCAAATCATCACGTAATTCCAATCTGATTGGTTGAAGTCAACAATCAAAACATGTCATTTCATTGCTGGAACAACAGTTCCAACCTGGTTTTGACAGATGAATGAAATTCTCACTTTAATTTGTTGAATAAAGATGGATTTATGGCGCTACTTATGTGTAAGACAGAGACAGGTCTATGCAAACTTTTCAAAGTCAATTTATCTTGGATCTGATGATTTTTTCAAAAGTTTTCAAGGTTATTACTTGAAACATATCAAAAGTCAACAGAAAACAATATAAAATATCTATGGTCGTATTTAGAAAAATAAAGCTGGATGATGGGCGACCAAAAACAAACTTCAAACAAACTCAGAAAAAAATGAAACGATATTGCAAAATTTCGATTTTTTCCGAATATTTCGTCAAGTACGCAGAATTTTCCAAATTTCAAAATGCTTGGTTCCCGAGATACAGGGTGGAATAGAAATTTTGCGCTTTTTGGGGTGGTATCATATTTTGGACACCCAGTAGGATAGAAAAAAGGTAAAAACTGCTATAGATATATATTTTCACGAAGAATCCAGTGGCGTAGTCAATTTTTTTTTAAACAAACCTTTTTCGAGATATAGCCCAAACTTAGTATTTTCCAAATATGACACCCTGTATTTTTTAATTCCAAAAAATTGGTTTTTATTTTCTCTTTGGAATGATGTATCACCGAGTGTATCACACTAGCCACTTGTGACGTCACTAATCCTTACAAACGCAATATTGAAAAAAAAACGTAAGTTGGCCATGGAATTATATACCGGGTGTTTTTCAAAACCCGCTCACCCCCATAACTTTTTTATTGTCACAAATAAACAAATGAAATTTGGTGTGTTTATTAATAACCCGAATGTGCATTAATTGACGTATTCAATTATTTTTTAGCACTTCCGGTTTGACCGGAAGTGACCCTAACTTTGTTAGTGTAAATGAGATGCCATGTATATTTTCCCTTATTTCAATAGAAAACTAAATTACGAGTACATTGACACCTCATTTTTCACTTTTCGACATTTGATCAAATGAATCAAAAATTTTGATGATTGGCAATAGCAAAGCGATTTTTATTTCAGATTTTAAAATGGAGGACATGGAGATACCTGAAATTCATGCGAGTGATTTTGAAATAGATCCGTTTTATGATAGCGATGACAGCGTAAAGGATCCAGATTATGGTAGGGAGATAAAAAAGAAAAAAATTCCGGACTATTTTGGTTTACACCGAAGATGCGAAGCGAGTACCTCTCGAACGAGAAGCACATCACCAACAGAATCTGTTGATGATGTGGTGATTGGCGATTCATCAATAATTTTCTCAGTCTCAACAGAAGCACAGAGCAGTTGTGAATCTCGCTCGGAAGCCGAAGTCTCTGATGAATGCTCTGCCTTATTTGACGGTACCTATTATAAAATAACTGATAAAGGCGCTAATTTTACTGTAACTGCCCAATGCCAAAAATGCATTCCCAAGATCAAGTACATCAAAGGCAGATCTAATGCTACTACAAATTTTTTGAAACATATGAAAACCAAACATCCTCATGAGCATCAAAAATACCTGGATTATAAAAAATACAAGAAGAGTACAAAAATTGCCCAAAGCAGCCAACCAACTGCAGTAAATAGAAAAAAACAACTGGATCTTAAATCAAGCTTTTTAGGAATGGGACAAAAAATATCGCAAGAACAATTTGACAAAAGAATAGTAAAATTTATCACTGAAACAATGTCTGCCCTATCGATAATCGAAAATAATAGTTTTATTCAGTTATTCGATGGCCTTAATATTAAAGTCATGTCCAGAAAAACGGCAGTAAGACGAATTTCCGAATCATGTAAAACAATACTTGAAAATATTAAAATTAATTTGGAATCTGTACAAC